CCTTCCAGGTATTTTATTTTCTTAAACAATGAATAAGTTAAAGATGTCTGAGACACATTAGGAGAGGTTACCAGCAGGATGTAAATGTTTTCAGAAAGTATGCTGAAAAATTTCTCATTTGGATGAGGCTGTCACAATCTCTACACCATCTGAATGTGGGGTAGGTATCCAATAAAACATGACCAATTACCTGGCAGATAATGTGTGCCTGCACATATCACTGGACCAAATGGTTGTAATGCTAAAAGGACCACAGGGCCACATGTGGAGGGTGCCCTTTAGTGCTGGGAATGAAGATGGAGTCCCAGCAGTCAGGAAGTGGAGAGAAGCTGGAATGAAGGTGTCCATGTGTCCTTCAAGTAGTATGCAAGGAACACAAGCTGCCAAAGGAGGTATTTTTTAATTCTAGATGGCCACTTGACTGAACAGACAGATTGAACACCAAGTGCAGAGGAGAAGCATTGCAAAAAGCCTTGGCTGTACCAACAATCACATCTCATTTCTGACAGATGGTAGAGGCCTGTGCTGCAGGGGAAGCAGCTGTGGGTGTAACTGTGTTAGCGAGACCAGTGATGGGAGTTAACAGATGAGGACCTTCCACAACCTCATGGCATCTGCAGCACAGGCTACCTGCATCCTAGACACAGAGGATGGTTCTAAGAAGACCAAACTGCACCTCATACTTGTCCCCTCAGGTGTGGTTTTATTTTAGGACTAAATTGCTCACTGATACATTTGTATGTGTGCATGTGTGTATGTATGTACATATTCAAATTAATCTTCATGGATACATAAGCAAAGCAAATCTTCAAAGCTTTACACACAAAGTTTTGTTGTGTAAACACAAAACTTCTCTTTAAAGATGCTTAATATGTAGAAAATCTTTGAGAACAGAGCTCTATCACTTATTGAGGGATAAGTGCAGTATAGAGAGAAGAATTGCTAAAACACATCAAATACTTTATTTATCAGGTGTATATGAAAATGGAAAGCTACTTTTGAGAGTTATGTAGAAGCCTATTGCTTTAAATCCCAGAATGACTTTAGAGATGTTTCTAATAATAATTCATTACCTACATTTAATTGTGAGTTAGGTTTACAACAGCTGCATTTCACATTTGCCTCTCTGGGAGAGAAGACCAGTATAATTGTTTCTTCTTGGAAAGTGTGAAGAATTAGGAAGAAAACTCACTTCGTCAAAGAGTACCTGTTACTTCAGGAGAAATGTGCTTATTATGTGGCACCCACAGCCAACACTGGCCACATCAATGAAAAAGGTGCACTGAGGAAGCAGTCACATTAGAGATATAGTTCTTGATGTTTAACAAATCACACCTTATCTTGCTGCCTCTGATCAGCAGAGATTCTAACTCTGTTGTAGCACAGTTTAAGAACACATGCCAATTGCTATTTACTATTTTGAAAATTCTGTAGAAATTAGTTCATTACACCAAGAAGAGTCCTCACAGGTAACATTTTCCTCTCAAACGAATGTGAGACATGTAACTTTCATAACAGCATTATTTATCCAGGTTTAATTCTAATAAGATTTTGCTTTTCTTCATGTTCAGCTTAA